GATCCTCAAGCTCCGAGGACCTGAGCTTTATATGTGTGTGTGTGTGTGTGTGTGTGTGTGTGTGTGTGTGTGTGTGTGTGTGTATATATTTATTTTCAACAATTAGTTAACAAAATATTTTTACATTTACATTTTATAGATCACTAAATTAATACACAGAAATTCTTGTTAAGTTAATAAATTGGTGATTTAACCCGGTAACATGATCGACACTTTCACAAAGAGAAAACTCTGAGTTTAGGCTCAACACAGCTCACTGAGACATTAATCTAACTCTTTAGTTCATGTCTCAGTTATCCATAAACAAACACACCCCAAAAACAAAGGAAGAGCTTCACCTTTGAATGCACACTGAACTCTAGTCACCCACCTGGAGTATCAACACTCAGGTACATGCTGCTGATGGGATCAGTCTTCTCTTCCTCTGGTTTGTTCCTTTGTTCCAGCTGGTGACACAAATCTGAAGGCTAGACAGTCCCAGTTTGCAGCCTTGCACTTCCGGCCTTCTCGGTCTTCAGAGGACATGGACACTGTAGACTGAGAAGGCTGCGTCCTCTGGGTTTTGGGACATAGCTAGAATCTTTGTCCACATCTCCTATTTTTCTCAAAACAACAGTAATAAATTACATTACTTTGACATTTTTTAATCATACAAAAACAATTTGCTATGATTGGCAGCTTGCAATTTACTACAAGTCGCATTTACTGAAAAAATGCGTTGCAGGGCTGGTTTTGATCTTTACAGCTCAGTTACAGCACGGCCAAATGTTCTGTGGCACAGACGTGGCGTTGAAGTCACTCCACACGAAGGAAACACAGATGAGCCCTGTGTGGGCCAAAAAACACAGATAGTGTATGTGATTCATACTAAAACACATCAGGGGTGTCTCATTGTTGAATCGGCTGACCTCCATTACCATCGAAGCCCACTGCAGGTAACTGTCTACAAAAAACAATAAATACATTCAGTATTTTCTGAATGTATGTATCCTAAATCGTCTGTTTTGATTTAGAAAAGTATATGTAGCCGCTAAGACTGGTGGACCTAAATCTTAACCACCACGTCTGTATACATACAAGCAGAAAGGGGAGTGAGCGGGTCAGCGCTCAGGGCACAGAAACTAAGCTGGCTTCAAACACCATTTATTTCCATAAAAAAAAACACAGCCAGAGTCACAAATACAAGATAAAATTCCCCGTATACAATAAAAATAGTGTTGCAACCCGCTAAAAACCCTGCCGGCAGAAATAACTATACAATATTAAAACAAGGCTAAATGAATGTTTTCCATATGCTAAAATTACCCTCCCATAGTCCCATAATCCCACAGTCCAGCCACACATGGGCGAATGGTCCTTATATGAAAGAGACAGGAGAGGAACTTCTCTTCCAGTATGGTAAAACTCGTCAGCAGCAGACCAGGGAGGAGGCTCCTATCGCAGACCTGTCTCCTCCTGACAGCGCGTCGCCGCACAGTCCCGCCCCACTCCACACCTGAACACGGCCTCCCTCGTCTCACCGTCAGATGCAGGCAGAACCAATACACAGATTGATAAAACATAAAAACACAAATTTCCACTGTGTGACATATAAAACTGTATGATTATGAAAGATCTAATTTTGCTGGTTCTTATATAGTGAGAGTCATTCACCCATTTCCACACCCAAGTGTTTTCTGTGTGGAGCAGCTCGATGTTTGTATCTTTCCCAAAGACTTCTCAGAGTGCAGACTGGAACACTCAGGGGTGAAACCACCAACCTTTCAACCAGCTCAACCTCTGAGCCACAGTTAGCCCAAAAACATTCAACAGGACACACAGAATAGAAAAGTCAGGAAGTGTTGTTTAATATAATATTGAAATACAGAGCTGAGGTTCAACAGGATGACTGGTGATGTTAGGATGTTTTCTCATTCATCATCATATTGATCAGATTTAATCTTGATAACATGATAAGAATTAAGCATGATTAACTATTATCAAAGGAAACAAAAGTATAAACTTAAACTTTGTCTATTTATATCATCTGAGTCGCTGTTCTGCTGTCAAGTGTGATGATGATGCCCAGCATGACATTGATTATCTGTATTTCATCATGTTTGGTGTCAGCACTGAGAGTTTAGAGCACCGGCTGAAGACTCCGTTTAGAGTTTAGCAGACAGTCTAGTCCTGATCATCGGGAGGCTGGAAGGAATCCGGACTCTGTGGCTTTTGTTTTCTGCAGAACGATAAACCAGCAGCAGCAGCCACACCTGCAACTATCAGGCCAACTATCACTCCAATAGATCCAGTTCCACCCGGTCCTGATCAATCTGCAGGTGAGAAACAGGTGTGAGGTGTCATGCCTGGGCCAAAAAAACAGAGATACTGAATGTAATTCATACTAAAACACACCAGGGCCGAATAACATGTTGGTCCTGGACCAAGCTCAACACTGGAGATCAACAGAGGTCCCCCCATAAGCCTTTGAGGAAGATTCGGCCGACCGCCATCTGGGTCTGCACAGCCTGTTCTCCACTGCAATTGGTGATGACCTCAGTTTTTCTCAACCATCTGTCCCAGTTGCACCTGATCCTGTTCCAGTTGTGCTTGTCCTATGATCCCCTTTGCATGTAGACCCTGAGAATGGTGGGGCTGCAATGGGCAAGCTACACCATGTGGACCAGCAGGCACAACTACTCAGTGTTGAACACTTGTTCTAATGTTTTAGGGGAAAAGGGGCAGTGCTTACATTCAATCTTTGGTTTGTATTTCTTTCCTCCTGAAAGCTAGGAATTAGTGAGTGGTCTAAGGAGCTTGGAAAGAAAAGCGTCGGGTCTTGTTTAAGCAACTTAAACAAGTCCCAACGCGTTTCTTTCCAAGCTCCTTAGACTACGATGACCTGGATGACTGAGAACCTTCACAGACGAATCAGTGAGTGTTATTCCCGGCCACTATACAGTGATTACCATTATTATATCTTTCCCACTGTGAAGCACTTACAATGTTTGTGTGTCCCAGAACCACTGTTAGGTGACCAAAATAGGAAAGTTTAAATGAAGTGTAACATTTTCACTTACCAGCATGTTTTCAGTGAGATATAGATTATCTGCTGGGAGAAGAGAAAGCTGTACCTTACTAAAGCCAATGAATGAAACACAAACTCCATGTCAGATTTACAGAAAAATCAGAGTTACTCACTCACCTGGAGAAACATTCAGATTGATGGTGACGTATTTCCATGAGCCTGTTTCTGCTATTTTAACACGACACTTGTATGTTCCAGAGTCAGCAGTGGTCACTTTCTTCACAATCAAAGACGCGTCTCCATCCTTCATCCCTCTGAGAGCCACTCGGTTCTTATATGATGGATGCTGGTTGTTTGGAACAAAACGCCCATCCTGGTACAAAAAGACATTTTTCTGTCCCAGGCCAGCTCTGCTCCACTCTACAGCTGTGATGTTATTTGTAACTCGACATGGAAGCGTGACGTCCTGTCCAGACTCGGCTGTGATGTTTATCTGGACTGAAAGAGGAAACAACACAGAGCAGAGAGGTTAAAGGTCAACATGTAATTATAAGCAAATTATTTACTTTAAATATTTGTTTATGTCTTTTAACATATGGATGGATTTAATTAATGTTATTGTCTTAAAGCCCAGCAGAGGCCTGTACTATAAAGCAGCTTTGGGTTCGAGGTTTTCTTTGATTCCTTTGATTCAAGATGGCGCCGGTGTGTGTGGCTTGCCGTCTATCACTGCCAGTGTTATGTTTGTTTGTATTGATTTTATTGACTATTGTAATAAATGCCAACTCTTTCTTGGTGTATGATCGCCAAACCCTACTGGATCTCCGACCTTCTGTCAAAAGCTGGGCAAAGTGGAACCAAGCTGAACATAAAACTTTGCCCCCGCTAATATCAGAGATCCCGGCTCACCTGTGCCGTGTTCCAGATCCTCCACTCCGGCAAAAGTGCCGTCGCCGGGGTCGAAGGGCTGGTTTCCTGGTTAAGCTGAAAGCTTCTTTGAGGTATTCTCTTAAGCCCTTGTCCAGAAAACAAGGAGTGGTGCCAAACTTCTGTTTCTCTCAGCGATCGTTGGAACCTGTCTGTGCCTGGCTGGTACCTGTCATCGGCCTGGATGGGATGTCCCGAAAACTCTACTCTCCTCGCCCCCGCCGACGTGGTGTGAATCTGCGGAATCTGCGGCCTCTGTGTCGGGCTTCTAGGACGGCTAGCGACGGGGATCCGCTGTTTACCGCCAGGATTGGCCTGGTAAATGCTAGGTCCCTAGCGAACAAAACGTTTATCCTGAAGGATTTTTTCACATCCCGAGGACTGGATTTTCTTTGTGTGTGCGAGACGTGGCTGAGCGCCGGTGAGTGCAGCATCTTCTCGGATCTTCTACCTGGCGATTGCTGCTATTTTAATTCCCCACGTATGTTGGGCCGAGGAGGAGGAATAGCTACGATCTTTAAAAGTCATTTTAAATGTAAGCAGCTATCAACCCCGTCATTCACCAGCTTTGAACTGTCTGTGTTTGAGCTGGGCTGCTCTCACACAGTGTTGTGTGCGGTGGTTTACCGGCCTCCAAAATACAATAACGACTTTGTGAGTGACTTTGCCGACTTTTTGGCTGAATTTATGCCAAAATATGATCGTGTTCTTATTGTTGGGGATTTTAATATTCACGTGTGTTGTCCCGACAGGCCCATGGCAAAGGGCTTTTTAAACCTTATTGATTCGTTTAATCTGGTGCAATGTGTGACAGGTCCCACACATGAACGTGGACACACGCTTGATCTTGTTTTATCTCATGGTTTTTCTGTTTCTAACATAGAGATTTGTGATGCTGTGTTTTCTGACCACAGTCCTGTGATGTTTGAAGTTCCTCTTGCCTGTGCCTCAGTTAAAACTCGCGCTGCTGCTCAGCGCTGTCGTGTTCTTAACTCCTCCACTGCTGAACACTTTTCAACAGTCTTTGACCAGTTCTGTAAGATCCCGGATTTTTTATGCAGCCAGACTGAGGAACTGAGCTCATGGTTTTATTCTACCTGTCGGACTGCTTTGGACATTGTGGCTCCATTAAAATCCAGACTGCCTAAAACTAAATCTGAGCCCTGGCTGAACGACTTGACCCGAGCTGTCAGACGCGATTGCCGTCGAGCTGAGCGCAAGTGGAAAAAGGACAAACTACAAGTGTCATTCCAGATGCTGAAGGACTGTTGGCGTCAATATCAAAGAACTGTAAAAGATGCCAAAAGAAAACACTTATCTGACATTATTTTGTCAAACTGCCACAACCCACGTGTTTTATTTAATACTATTAACTCTGTTCTTAATGCACCATATACTGACTGTATTGAGCCCTCAACAGAAGCCTGTGAAAATTTTTTACACTTTTTTATCGAGAAGGTCTCCTCCACAAGGGCTCAAATCTCTTCTCATGCTCACGACCTCTCAGTCTCTGCTTCCTGCTCTGCTGTCTTTGACAGGTTTGAGCCTGTGACTCTGTCCTTTTTAAAGGAGACTGTTGGTCATCTTAAGCCTGCTGGGTCTCCAAATGATGCTGTCCCTCCTCGACTTTTAAAAGAGGTGTTACCTACAGTTGGTCCTTTGGTGCTTGAGCTGGTAAACCATAGTCTGATGTCAGGTGTTGTCCCTAAAGATTTTAAACATGCAGTAGTCAAACCCCTGATTAAAAAACCTGCTCTTGATCCTATGGTTCTTGCAAATTACAGGCCTATCTCCAAACTACCTTTTCTTTCCAAAATTCTTGAAAAGGTAGTTTACAACAAAATAATGGCCTTCCTGGAAAAGCAAAATGTTTTAGAGGTTTTCCAATCTGGTTTTAAACCCTTTCATAGCACTGAATCAGCCCTTTTAAAAGTTTTTAATGACATATTTTTAGCGACTGATGCTGGGGACTGTGTTGTTCTTGTGCTTTTAGATTTGACAGCTGCGTTTGATACCGTGGATCATGCCATTTTATTCTCTCGTTTGGAGCACTGGGTGGGCATTAGGGGCACTGCACTGGAGTGGTTTAGGTCACCCTCTGATGCATGAATTATGAAAGCCTTGGTCAAGATTTTTTTCTTAAGTGCTTTTATTCTTCTCAGGACATGAAAAAAAATGTTCAACTCTTTTTTTCCCAAAAATATGTTTTTTTATAAAGTTATAAACTTGTCCACTCCAGTGGACTACATGCGCCTGAGCACTTAGCATGAAATACTGTGAATTTACTATAAAAATTAATTACCTTGTGTTCTATTGTAAATATACAAACACTTGTTTGCTTGTATCCTTTGAAAAACATCTCAGCAATTTTTTTGGAACTTTCAACTCATAAGGCCCCAATGTTTAGACGTAAATAACAAAACCAATCAACAGTCCTAGCTGTGAATCCTACACCTGAATATGGCAAACTATCTCCAACAAGAGAAACATTTTTGAGTCTACACAGTTCTATAACGATGCAGGACAGTATTACCAAGCCCTTAGTAGCATGCTGGAAGAAAACACAAACTGACATCTTAGTCTCTGCATCTCCAAACACTTCTGTGTTCATCACACCTAGGCTGTCCGTAGTTCCTATGTCTCTGTTCTGCTCTGGCAGCCACTCTCATCATCACTGGACTTATCACTGAACTCATCATCACTGCACTCATCAATGAAATCATCATCACTGGAGCTGGATGGAATTTCCTGGACTATTCTGTACGCTGCCTTATTCTTTGCTGCATTTGAAGTCTACAAAATATGATAAAATAATTATTATAGTAACTCAAACTACAGCTGATCTGCACAGAAATATACATTTTAAATGAGTAGCTTATAAATGTAACAATTATATGCTTACTTATAACCAAAACAGTCCCAAAAAACAGTGAGACAATTTATGACTTATGTTAAAAAAATATAGTGGGTAATGCATGATGTCCACTACAGTGGACACATGGTTAATCGTAGTTTTCTACATATTAGACATAACAATTTCTTATTCCAAACAGATAATATCCTTCCCTAGATGTTACTGCATATCATCATATTTTTTTTACCTGTTGGGCTCTTTTAGCATAGAAGGATTGACAGGATATGCCAGCAGTGGTCGGCAGGGGTGACAGTTTGTCTGCCATCTTTGATTCAGAGGAAATTTACTTGCAGTTGCACTAACTGAACACTGAATTGACCTCAATGGAGCATGGCAGCAGAGAGCACTCTAGAGGCTAATATGCAGTTCCACCATAGAAACCAATGCATTAAAGAGATATGTACGTTTTAGTAGCTGTCCACTCCAGTGACCACTATGCATCAGAGGGTTAGGTCCTATTTGACGGGGCGAACTTTTTGTGTCAGCCTTGGTGACTATGCGTCGTCCTCCGCTCCCCTCTTGTGTGGTGTCCCACAGGGCTCAGTTCTAGGCCCCCTCCTCTTCTCTTTATATCTGCTTCCTCTTGGTTCTGTACTGAGAAAGCACGGCATTGCTTTCCACTTTTATGCTGATGACTGTCAGATCTATGTCCCTCTAAAGAAAAAAGGCAGATACCTTACACAGCCATTACTTCAGTGTCTCGATGATATTAAGGCTTGGATGTCTGCTAACTTCTTAAAATTCAATGATAAAAAGACAGAGGTGATGGTTTTTGGTAGCCCCACTGAGACCCCCAATGTGTATGTAGATTCCCTGGCACAGTATGTTAAGCCAACTGTCACAAACCTGGGGGTCAAAGTGGACTGTGATCTAAAGTTTGATAATCAAATTAAGGCAGTGGTAAAATCTAGCTTCTTTCACCTCAGGCAGCTGGCAAAAATAAAACCAATTCTTTCACGGCAGCACTTTGAGACAGTGATCCACGCCTTTGTTAGCACTCGGCTGGATTACTGTAATGCACTTTATATTGGGGTCAGTGCATTATATATTAGTCACCTACAGAGGGTGCAAAATGCCGCAGCTCGTCTTTTAACTGGCACTCGAAAGTTTGAGCACATTTCCCCTGTTTTAGCTTCACTTCACTGGCTGCCCATTTCTTTTAGGATTCATTTTAAAATTCTTTTATTTACTTTTAAAGCTCTCCATGGCCTCGCCCCATCTTATCTCTCTGAGCTGCTACAGCCTTATACACCCACCCGCTCTCTCAGGTCAGCTGATCAGCTGCTCCTGAAGATACCCAGGACTGGGCGTAAACTTAGAGGAGATCGTGCTTTTGCTGTAGCAGCTCCCAAACTGTGGAATGAGCTTCCTTTAGAGATTAGACAGGCCACTTCTTTACCTGTTTTTAAGTCACTCTTGAAAACCCACCTCTTTACTTTGGCCTTTGACACCACGTGAGATGTTGGTTTTTATATTTATTTTTATTTTATTTTAGTTGTTTTTAGGTGACTCGATGCTGTTTTATCTTGTTTTGTTTTAACATAGGGCTGTTTTAATTTTAATTTTATGTCTTATGTGATTTATTTATTTAATTTGCTGTTTAACTTACTTTCTGTACAGCACTTTGTTCCTGTGCTGGGTATTTTAAAGTGCTTTATAAATAAAATTGGATTGGATTGGATTTCTGTGCTAGGAAGGTGGTTCACGTCTTATAACAGTGCATTGGTAACTTATGCTGTGAACCTGCTCCAGATCAGATTAAATCCAGATTAGAGATCTTGATGTATAAAATAAATCTACGAACCAATAATGTTTTATAAGAGTTAATATCTGGTTGAAAACAAGATGCCTGCACTTCACTTGTGGAGCTTATGTTAAATCTGTACATAAACTAAGTTTAAATCCTGTTTTTGTATTTAGTCTTAAACAGAACAGATTCAATCAACATTTTTTCATTACCTGACTGATTATCCTGATTTCCATTATCAGAGTAAATAAATGGGGCAGACATGTTGTTGATATCACTTCCCAGACCCACTGAGGGGGAATTTTAGCCTCATGCTAAACATGCAAAGTGTCAGAAACTACAAGATGTTAGCTTCCACAGAACAACAACATGTGCTGATAATAAGTGAACATAATGTGTGAGAGAAAGCAGCCTCTCATTATAAGACACTGTGAGTCTCTGCATGCTGCCTTTATGGAGCTACAGCTGTTTGTATACACTGAACAAGAAGCTTTGTAGCTGCATCCTGACTCCTGACACACGTTACACTTCTTTGTCTCTGTCACATCTGGATTACAGATGTTAAATCCACACAAACTCCACCCAGCCTTGTGTCTCCTCCACACACAGACAGTCTACTTTACTCCTCATTTTCTCAGAAAGGCATTATGTTAGTTTCTAACAGTAAATCTCACCTGCAGAGACGAACACGAAGACGCTGAAAAACAGCAAAGTTGAGCCGAGCGAGACACTGACAGCAGACATTTCTTAACTCCACCCTTCAGAGTCAGAGAGAGAGAGACGTTAGGCTGCGCACCGCTGGTCTGAAAGGCTCTTAGCACATAAACCGTACGTACTAATTTACTTACTCGGGTTTCATATGTGATAGTTTGTGTGCTGGACTTAGTTTTAGGGCTGAAAATGAATCTGAATAAATCCTGTTTTTCCCTCTCAAAGACTCACAAACTCCTGGCATCCCTGTTAGAAAGAAACATAAATATTTGAGAGTAAATGTTTGAGAAAATTAAATTAAAAAAATCTGCCAACATTTTAAAAGTTTGGCCCTGAAACTGAAAAAAAGGTAAGTGTGGTTGCTGAGAGAGATCTGTCCTTAAATGGACTTTGGTAAGGCTGT